CATAATTCTGAATTTCTAAGTTTTTATAGTATACAACAAATATGAAGTTCATATATTTTTTTTTTTTTATGTTTTAAGAGTAGATTAAATGATTATTTAGATAATAGATGAAAAAATCTTTAATAAAAACTCACAAAAGATATCATTTATTAGATGTTGAAATATACATGTTACATTTGTGAGTCCAGAAGACATGATATTATATTTGAAATGTCTATACTTGCTTTGAAATGCAGTCTTCTATTCATCTTATTTTTTAATGCATATTAGATTATATGTTCTTTGTAGATCTATTTTTGTATAGATTTTTATTTGATTGTGTTGATCAAGAAATTCTAAAACCAAAGATAGAAGATAACTATTCTTGATGGTGATCTTGTTGAATCTTTGATAGTTACATACATCTGCAAAGGTCCATTATTTGTTTTTATAAATGAAATAAAAGTTCTTATTGAAGATTTAGAATGGAGTATGAAGTTCTTAGGTAAATTCTTGTCAATATATTCCTTGACTGCAATCAACTTATTTTGTAATAAGCTATAAATTGGTCCAAATGGTAGTTGTGTTTATTCTTGAAGATCGATGGAATAGTCATACAAATAATTTTTTAGATGAATAACAATATATTCGTTCTCCAAAATGTCTTTATAATCTTAGTACTAACTTGAAATGCAACTTGAAGTCTTTTCTTTTGAAAATAGATGTGGCATATATAGCAAAAATTGATTTTTTTTTGTTGTTTGCATAAAAGTTCTTACATCTACCAATAAGAATTTAATTGTATTGGACTTATGGATTTTTATTCAACTAGCAAAATCTTAGACTAAAATACAAGAAAAAAAAAAAGTTATAAGAAGTCCAGCCTATTTGGAGGTTATACTTCTTTATCCTTGATAATGCTAAAACAACTAGTTTGGAAGGAGATCTTATTACATTAAATATTACTAAGCTATTACAATCTTTAATTGCTATATCTTAATGAGTTATTTCATAGATAATATTTGCAAAGGAAAAAAAATGACTATGAATGAATTCTACATGCATAATTTTATTTTTCTTAACTAAAAATATTTTTTATTTTTTAATAAAAGCTTTGTCTATAACAAAAACTAAGGCTCTTAAATCTAGTAAGGCAAAGACTTTGTAATTTTTTGATTCCAAATAAACTTCTATTATAAAATAAAGTGATGTATTTAAAGAAAGAATATGACTTTTATTAGATATTTCATAAGATTTTAATGGCATAATCTTGGTTGCACCTTGAAAAAATTATTTTTCAATATATCGTCTTTTGTGGCAACTATGTTCTTCATTTTGTAGTTGCATTGCTTTTTAAAATAATATTGAGTATTATATTTAGAATCTCTAAAATAAAAGCATAAAATTTCTTAAATAATATCAATTTTTTTTTATTTAATAAGAAGCTTGAAATATATAGTGTTAATTTACATAAGTTCCTGTTTTAACGAATAAACTTCTATAAACTTAGAAGCTATTACTATAGCTTGATTTGTACTTCTTTAAGCAACTATTTGTTTTTGGCATCTTTCAAAGAATCGATTATCACATGCAATTGCTTATGTAATAAATTCTTATAATGAGCCTACTTTTGATATTATCAATAGTAAATCTTTGATGTTATCTTTTAACTCATATTAAAATTGATTGATAAGGGCTTTGCCATTTCAATCTATATTGCTAGTAAGATTTTAGAATTTTACACCACATATTGTGGTTGAATGTGAACTTTGTTGTAAAAATATAAGTTTGGTTTTTACTATCTTCTTTTCAATCACATTCTCTAAAAGTAGCCATAAACACTTTTAAGAATGAATTTAGATAATAGAGAAGACTTAAATCATTTTTCAACAAAAGTGCAAACTAAAAAAGCACTTTCAAAAAAAAGTGCATAGATGAATCTATCTTGAGTAAATCTGTTAGGATATTAAAAAAGATGCTACCTTAGATAGAATTTTATTTATTGTTGAAAGCCTTAAAACTTTGATCTTGTTTCATCAAACTTCTTAGACATACATATCTTTGTTTCTTTTATATTTAGAATAGCAAGACTTCTTAGATTTAGTTATAAGCTTGATCTATTTGCTTCTCTCAATTGCACAACTTCTTAGGATAGATTTTGAACTTTATTATTGAGTCTTCCATAGGTGTCGGAATACCACATCTATAGTTGATATTAAAGATACTTGAGATTTCTACCTTCAGAGTAATGATAAGCTTATGAAGATTTATAATAGTTGCAAATCTATTCTTACTTCTAAGAATAACATCCATAATTTTTTTTCTATAGATAATTTAAATAAATCTAAAAGTCAAATTAGTAGAGGATAATTTGAAACCTCTAATATCAAATGAAAAGTTCTACAAAGAAAAATAGTCGACTCTATTTAAGAAAAAAACTAGTATTAAAAAGCTAAAAATAAGTTTAAAGTTGGGTAGTTCACAAGCTTCAAAATACAACAATAGAAGTAAGATAATTCACTCACTTCTAATACAAAATATAAAAAATGAGTTAGATCTCTTATCAAAATATCAAGGATATAAATTTCAAAAAAAATAAATCTTGATACATTCTTATGTTATTCAAAAAGATTAAAAAATCACTTTAAAATGATAATATATTCAATTAAAATGGCTATTGTAAAAGACAAGAAGATTAAAAAGTCTTGAAACATGACTAAGGGCTTGAAAGGCATTGACAAAAATAAAGAAGTCTTCACTTTTACTTCTATATATACTATCTAACTACGAACTGCATGACGACATCTTTTAGAAACTCCAACACATGTCTGATTTGCAGGACATGTGTTTTAACTTGCAAGGCAAGTTTTCTATATGCGTGCTATATTGCTACCTTATACCACAAGCTATCTACACATGTAACACATGGCTAATTTATTGGCCAAGTTTCTAACCTATCAATCATCTATAAACATGTATAAAGTCAAATATCCATCTATGAAGCTTCTAAAAAGCTTCATCACAAGATAATATCAAATCTACTTATATTTTCCTTCTACTCAACACTTCTTATATAGATAAATATGTATGTCTATGATACTTGAATAATAATCAAATAATAGGGTAGTCTTTCTTCTCTAATATAAGATACTATTACTAATTGAGAATACCTATCAACTACCTTTGAAGAAAATAAAGCTGAAAATATGTAGATAATACAATTTGCTACAACTTGGATATTTTCAACATGTGATTATTGCTCTTTATAGAACTATTTCTATAAGGTAGCTAATGTCAAAGATATACATATTGATACTAATACCTATTAAGATAAGAGAAATAAAGTATGAATAAATATATATAAATTTAATAATATCTTATAGAAAAGCTTCATAGATGCAAATTTGTATGAGTCAATTATGTTTAATTTATGATTGTATGAATCAATTACATTTAATTTTAAATTAGAATAATAAAGATCAAAGAATTAATTTAAATAAAAATTAATAAATTTTAAAATAAAATAAATATTACCTTATATATTAATATAAAATATAGGTATTATAAATTCTTTTAAAAAATTATTATTATATCTTACAAGTAAATAATAAATACATAAAAAAGTAAAATTTATAAAAAAATGTATTTAAAAAAATATTATAGTTGTGTAATAATAAATTTAAAATTTTAATCATTATGGATAAACTAATATATTAAATGTATTAAAATTTTATATTAAAAAATAGTATAAAATATTTTTAGAAAAAAATAAATCATATTTTTACTAAAGGTAATTAGTACTTAATAATATTTATTTTATTTATATTATATTATATTCTATTCTATTTTTAAAATTAATTTTTATTTAATAGATATAAAATAACTATTTGAATCATATTATGGTTATTTAAAGAATAAATAATTATAATTTTTTGTGAGATATACATATATTTATTTTTATTATTATTATTTTCTATTTTAATTTTAATTTTATAATAATTTTATTATAAAAAATTATTAATATTTTATTATAATTTTTTTAGTTATCTATACACATTAAAGTCCAATCTATTATTTTAATGTGAAACATAAATTATTTGCTCTTAAAACATATAATATTTACTTTTATTTTTTAAAATTATTTATATTTCTTATTATTTTATATATTTTCATGTGCTATAATATTCTTATTATTGCATTTTTTCTGAGTTGATTTTTATTTACTAGATTATATATATATATATATATATATATATATATATTCATTTTACTTTTAGTTTTATTATCTACACTCTATTTGTAAACTAATTGTATTTGATACATGATTAAACTCTACATTTTGTGCACCAATTTGTTTTTGTTATTTCTTTATTCCGTAAATATTATTTTTTGACTAAATTAAAAAATTCAATCTTTATAATTTATGAATTTGTGTACATATTTATTATTCTTTGATACCTTTAGATTTAAAATTTGAATAGATTAATTAATTTCTTCATTAATTTATTTTATAATTTTAAAACCAGTTTAAAAATTATATTCCTTTGTGAGTGTTATTGTAAAAATTATATTCTTTTGTATATTGTAGTGTACATGCCTTTTTACAACGAATTAATATGTATTATTGTGCTAACTAGAAATTGTAATATTTTATGATCTAATAGAAACAGACATACAATTTTTTCTTTTTTTCTTTTTTCTTTTTCTTTTTCTTCTTCAAGATTTTCATACTTGCTTATTGGTTACAATTCCCTTATCTAAAGGAAATGATGATAACAAGGTAGAGATTTTATCGTATTATAGTAAATATGATTCGACTTATATGGTAAAGATTTGAGTCCATAATTTCTTATCAAGTCAACTGTCACCTCAACCATCATGTGTTTGGTGCTCAGTGCAAGTTTGAAAGTGGTGCACAAGCATATACCGATACACTGGCAACAACGGGTTCTCAACTTATTGCTTACCACAACGTTGCCTACATGATTCAGATCTGTGAATTTATGAAGGATAAAAGCTAATTGAAATTGTGTTACTATATTAATTTTCTAGAGCAACCGACAAATCCAATCAGAGCATCTCATACAAAGAATTGAAAAACCATAGAACACTACGAAGGGCATCCAAAGGTAGCGTTGGAAAGCCCGCTGAAATTGGTTATGTTCTGTTTTCATAGGTTTTTCCTACAACAGTTACAGTGACAACCCTTCCGTTCTAAGGCTGTACTAGGCTTTCCTCAGCTGCTAGCAAAGGTAACAAGAGATAATGAATATAGAATGGCTCAGTTCTGGTTGCAACTGCAGCAAGTAATCCAAGGCAGTCAAACCTTCTTGTATAGCTCTATACTGCACTGGACTCCACCGCGTGAGTCTCGTTCCGCTGGCTTCAACCAGCCACCATCCCCCCCGATTTCCTCGGATTTGAAGCCCACGTTATTTAAAGCCTTTCATTATTAAAAAGCCTTTCATTAGCTTCAAAATGGTGCAAAACTGTTTACTCCTTGCCGTCGGCGGCTCTCAAGGAGCCCAGCTGCACTGGGGCCTGGGTGCCGACCACCTTGGAGGATCCATATTTGGATGCAAGATCGGCACCCGATTCCTTCTCTTTCTCGATCTGCTCCTTGATCCATTTGTATGTGATGGCAAGCCCGTCCCTGAGGCGCATGGAGGGAGCCCAGCCGAGCTTCTCTTTGATCAAAGTGTTGTCTGAGTTCCGCCCGCGCACTCCCTCCGGTCCGGGGATGTGCTTGATTGGGAGCTTCTTGTTGTCAAAGCTGAGCACAATCTCGGCCATCTCGTTCATGCTCAGCATCTCGTCACTGCCGATGTTTACTGGTTCCTGGAAGTCGGACTTCGTCAGGCGCAAGACGCCCTCCACGCACTCGTCGATGAAGGTGAATGAACGGGTTTGCTTGCCATCGCCCCACATCTCAAAGTACTCGGTAGCTGTCAAGGCCTTCCTGCAGAAGGCAGCGGGAGCCTTCTCACGTCCCCCTGAGTTGAAACAACATTTGGGCCTTAAGCAAAAACTAACACAGTTTTTTACTTGACGTTTATTTAAAAAGATATGAATGAATCAGGATAAGAAGAAGTGGTAGATGAGAGAGTGGAAGAAAAAAAAAAGAAGAAGCTCAAAATGAGGATTCTTCTGACTGCATTGCAAACATGTAGATTTGAAATCAGTTTTTAAGAGATAGTGAAAATGACGAGGAGCCTTACGAATTATTACCCTTCCAGGTTCCATAGGGACCGTAGATGTTGTGGAAACGACCAATGCGACACTCCATGCCGAAGTCCTTTGTATAGTGCCTACACAGCTCCTCCGTGGCTAACTTCTCAAGGCCATAAGCATCCTGGGGCTGTTACACGGAAATCACTGTCAGTAACAGATCAAGTTTTATTCCTGACAAGATGGATATTGTCAGACAATCATCACTTATGAGCGCCAGGACATGTGGAATACGATCCTGCCACTCGAAACATGAAGACGGAATCTGATAAGCACTGCAAACCTACAGAAAGCTTCAATAATTGGCAATCCATGACACTCAAGTATAGATCGCCGAAACAATACGATTCACCGACATTACTAAAACAACTGTTATTTAAGATTCTTAGTCGCCAATACTGTATCATTTGGGAGGTGAAAAAGGCAATACCAGAGCGGGCCAAGCGTCCGACTCCTTCAGGCTGCTCACGTCAGTCTCCAGCTGTTTGAATTCAGGATAGATACACGCGCTTGAAGCATAGAAAAACCTGCAACATCCACCAACTCCACTCAGGAACCGACAAAACCAAAAGATTTGAAACGGGAGCAATCTCTCTACGATCGGTAAAGGAAGAAGATTGTACTCACAATGATATTCCACTAGCCACAATCTTTACCAAGCAGAGAGAAACAGAGATTGCACATAAGCAGAGACCTTCGAAAGCAAGAATAAAGAGCTGGAAATGGCTAAGGTAAAATTGGAAGGGCAGAGAGGAGCATGCACCTAGAGACACCATTGATGCGTGAGGCTTCAAGCATGTTGAAGCTGATCATGGTATTGTTGTACATAATGACAGCGTGATTGGACTGGATGAAGCCCATGCCCCCCATGTCGGCGGCCAGGTTGAAGACGTGATTGGCGCCCTTGGTGACCTTCAAGCAATTGTCCATGACGCGCAGATCCACGAGGTGGAACTCGTCGCAGAACATATCCTCGCTCATGTGCTCATTCTTCTTCCAGTCGGAGGCAATGATGTAGTGCCCTTCGCTCTTCAATCGGCGCGCGATGTGCGAGGCGATGAACCCACCAGCCCCTGTGATGGAGATTCGCAGCTTCTCCGCGGGCCTGTATGCCTCCCGGTCCAAGTTTGTGGCGGTATAGTCACCGAAGCGGCCATAGCTCGCCATCTCTGAATTAATCTCCAACAAACCAACAGCTATAGTGAAAATTTCACCTGTCTCTATGATCAAAAACCTTACACACACAAATCAAAAACCCCAACCTCTTCCCGCAGCGACGAAATCACAGTGCACCCTCGCACAATCTTTGTAGATGCAGTAACCTGCGGTGGGGATAGCCAAGTGAGGGCCGAGAGAGCTAGTCCTTCCTCGCGCAGCCTCAGTGGTGTTTTAATACTGCAAAACGCGGAGGAGCTCGAAGAATGCAAGGGAGATTCCGCCCTGGCTCCGGTCAACTGTGTGCTTTGCCGCTCCTTAGGGAACTACCAGAAAAAGATCACTCTTTTTGCTTTCCTACCGATGGGCGGCTTTTACGACCGCTGGACGAAGGTCTGTTTTTGAGAGTTAAGCGGTCCGGGATTTTCTCGTTGCCTTGCCAAACTTTCGGTGCTGTCGAGACGCCCTGGGTCAGATGCAGTCGACCTGCTTTAACTGATATCAGTGCACACTGAGTTCAAATTACTGTTTAACAAAGAAGGGAGGTAATGTTTATCAAAACTTGGCATCTGTCTTCTCCCATCCGCATGGTTCAAGTTGCCGATATTGCAGTAAATCGTAATATTCTCCAGATTCTCTTTACTTTTTCTTCACTTTTCTTTCCGTTACGAATTAACAAAGGTTGATGTTCTTAGTCACTATCTAATGTGTAGTATTAGAATTCTAATCTTTTCAAGGAGTAACAGTTATGAAAGATCGGCTCTAAAGACAACACGATGTCACGTTGAAAATCAAAACAAAACAAATGATAAAACTAGTTTTCTAAGAAATCTGTTAAGTGACGTCTTCCATGGGTTCTGTCCTTAATTGGACAGTAAGCCGTCGTTGAGTACCCTATTACCTCTGCTCCACATAATTAAACAAAGCTGAGATGTATATACAAATACATATATACAGACATACGAGTTTGTATTTATCGAAGTACTCCATCAGGACATTTTCTTGTTTGAAATGGTTCACAACACGGGAACTCGGTGCTCTCAGAAGTCCGTGAAGAAGGTGTAAAATGATTCGAGTCACCTGCCAAGCCATAGCTGTGTGTTCCAGTTTGTCATATCTCCACAAATAGATGGGCCATCTTCGCTTCCATTTTTACTCGGACGGCATTCAGTCCATTAGTGTCGGCACACAGCTCTCTATTTTTCGGGTGTGGCATCACGTTTCGTAACAAGTATCTCGTTTTCAGGTGTTTCGTAACAAGTCTCTCGTTTCGCGACGTGCAATCTTGTTTGGATTGCTGGTGGCCCCAGTGGTACAACCAAATGTAAAAAAATTGTAGTTAGCTTTCTAATCTGGCACACTAAAATCGTCGACTTCAATCTACAGATACCATAATGCATCACCGTCCTTAACGCTTCAGAGGTGGGCCACTCACCTGCATCGCATGAGTGATCCATCAGGTCGATGTCCTTCCAGTTGCGCACATATTAGTACCCACGAAGCGGAGTTCATGTGGGGAACAAATTTGGATCCACCGAGGAAGCCACCGTGCAGAAAACATTGGATGTGGAACGAATGGTGGAAACCACTTCCAGCGTGACTATAAGCTTTTGAGGCACATCCCTCGAATGGCGTGTATCCCCGAACTTCGCACGCATGTCCCTTTATTCTCGCCCTGGTGACGATCACGTGGTTCTTGGGGCTTCGCATTCCTGGGTGACTTACACACCTCATGCACGCTACTCGTTCGAACCTCCTAGCTCTCTTGTTGACTGCAGATAGCATCCCTGGTGGTGTAGATTTAGTTCTGGCGCGCGAGGTGTGGAGGTGTAGGGCCTGAGGTGGGTTAGTTTGCAGGATTTGGATGGTCACATTTAGCATTTTGGTGGAAATGTGAGATTGGGTTAGACGAGGCAGCCTAGAGGATAAATCTCTTCCTTTGTGAGTCTCTTCCTCTTCGCATGCTGCTTCAATGAGTTTACGGAATTCGAGGTTAGATTTGGGGCCAGATTGCAACATCGTGCACTACAATGGAAGGCGTGCTGCGCAGTGTGAGACCTCCCTGTGTCCCACCCTCGTGTGCCCGGCGGCTCTTTTCGTGCCGCGCGATTCCTTCCAGCCGTGAAATTTCTTCAAGACAAAGAATCACAAGATGCAGGGTGGTGGAGAAGACGGATGATTTGAAGCTGAGACTTCCACTTTGTCGGTCCGCATTCGCCAAGACATCCAGTTTTGCACGGTTAGCAGCGCGTGACGGCAATGAAGACAGTTTGGAAAGGTTGGGGAGGCTGGTATCCGTGCGAAGCAACGCACGTAGCGATGGCGCTGGCATAGAAGGGGATGCTAGCGAAGGTGGCCTGTTTGGGGGTTTGCTTGAGCCCATAGCCCCCCGACAACCGAGTGACCCAGATGATTCTCTCTTTAACGCAGACTTCGCGCCGACGATGCCAGCAGGCCGAATTTTCACGGTCTGGGATATGGCCTGTCTGTGGATAGGGTTAGTAGTCGGGGTGCCAACGTATTATATGGCGGGGAGCTTGGTGGAGATGGGGATGTCATGGTTGGAAGGTGTCCTCACCGTATTTGTTGGGAATGTGGTGGTTCTTGTTCCGTTGGTGCTCAGTGGTCACTCGGGAACGAAATTCGGCGTTCCTTTTCCAGTGCTGGCGCGCGCTGCTTTCGGCATCCGGGGTGCGAATGTGCCGTCCTTGTTGCGCGCTTTTGTGGCCTGTGGGTGGTTCGGCATCCAAACGTGGATCGGAGGGCAAGCTATATACCAGTTGCTCAACGCGCTCTTCCATGGGAGACTCGCAAGCAGCGTGCTGCCGTGGTTGGGTATAAGTGCGTCAGAATTTGGATGCTTCATGGTGTTTTGGCTGCTTCAGGTTCGCTACTCTTCGCATCTTGAACCCCAATCGACCGAAGTTTAATGACCAACGCTCACACACAATTGTTGAAGTCAAATTGAGTACTTGAGTGGTTAACAGTACTAGGGCCACTTTTCTACTGTTCGAAGCCGTCTTTGAAGTTTAATACCCTTGGATTATGCAGGTCGGGATTGTTTCAAACGGGATCGAAAGCATTCGAGAGCTCGAAAAGCTGAGTGCTCCAATTCTCATAGCTCTGTCAGCTGCATTACTAGCGTGGGCTTACGTTCAAGCAGGGGGATTTGGGCCCATGTTGTCACTTCCTTCTCAATTCATTACCGGAGGCCCTAAAGCAGGCCAGTTCTGGAAGACCTTTTTTCCAGCCTTGACAGCTAACGTCGGGTTCTGGGCTACGCTCAGCCTGAACATCCCAGGCAAGGCATCTGAATAATTCCATCATTCTCATCAATATTTCTGTTATTTCTGGAATATTGCACTGCTCTATGGCACTTGAGGCCATGGCAAAGCATCGGAGTGAACTTGGGCATCACGTCTGCATTGCTTCTATCGCAGATTTTACGCGGTACTCGAAGAGTCAGGTGGACCAGCTGACAGGCCAAGCGATCGGACTGCCTCTATTCATGGCGGCTTTCACATTTGTGGGCCTAGCCGTCACTTCGGCGACTGTGGTGATTTTCGGGCAAGCCATTTCGGATCCCATACAACTCCTATCTCGCATTGATGGCTTCTTCCCGATTCTTTTGTCACTCGTAGGGGTTATATTAGCCACTCTGACTACCAACATCGCAGCCAATGTGGTCGCTCCTGCCAACGCTCTCGTGAATCTGAATCCGTCCATCTTCTCCTTTAAAACAGCCGGTCTCCTTGCCGCTGTGATCGGAGTCTTGCTGCAGCCGTGGCGGCTGATTCAGTCCAGTCAGGGGTTTATCTTCACTTGGCTGATAGGATACTCGGCGTTGCTGGGACCTGTGGGAGGGATCATGTTGGTCGATTACTTTGGATGGCGAGGTCGGGCTCTAAACACTGACGATCTCTTCTCTTGCGACAGAAGAGGTCAATATTGGTACACCAATGGTTACAACATTTCAGCTATGTTGGCCCTTCTTGCAGGCATTCTTCCCAACATCCCTGGGTTTCTAGAGTCCGCAGGCATGCTTCAGGGCTGCCCTCTCGTTTTCACTCTCATCTACAGCAATGCCTGGTTTGTGGGTTCCTTTGTAGCTGGACTTGTTTATTGGACTTCGTCGAAATGGCAATTACAACGCTTGCGAGTGGCTAATGTATAAGCTCATGTCTTGCTATGGAAGCGTCGAGATTTGCTCTCATGGAATGCACTTGTCAGGGGTTTCCTCTGCTGAAATTCTTTGAGGATATTTAACATTGGGACTGGAAGCTTTGTATTTATATCAAATTTACCAAGCATTCAATTATTTTATTTCCTTGTGGCGGCTATGGTGTCTCCGCCTCCCTTACCTATCAAGCGAAGGAATTGTGCGAGGAGGAATAATGTTCTTTTAGGTGCCAACAAAGACTCTCTCGTTTATCCGTCGGATCAGCCAGGTATTGAGTACCTCATTTATTTTTTTGCTTATTATCAACACCGATTTGAAGACCTTGTCAAGTATGATGATATCATCTACGTGTGAAATATTATTCAAGTTTTGTAGACATTTACATTTCTCGGCATGCTGTGTCCAGCCAGCTGCTCTTTTTAGCTCTGCACGTGCATTGGGAACTGCACAGCATCGAAGTACAGACAAAACAGAAATTATTTGAATCTGTGTCATCCTAGTTCTTGTCTTTTAGTTAGAATTATTGGTGGCCGATTGATGCTTACTCTTTCAGAGACTCTAGATTGTGTGAATTGACAAGATCTGAATTAGGTGCACGGTGCTATCCTCCGTTTGGATTAGTGAGCTGGGGTACAACTTGTAAGTAGGTTACTATTAGATATTGTCCTTCATGAATGATGCTGATAACGAAAACTTCATTGGAGTTCTACGTCACAGACTGGTGTCACCTGATTCTTTGAAGGCGAGGGATCACACAGCAGCGAGTCTCATCAGACATGGGTGCCATCTTGGTATACCTGTCTCTAAAAGTTGCAGAATTTTCATGGTGTGTGACGATCTTGCAGCGCACGACGATTGGGTGCCGAGTCGGTATTCAATTGCGAGAGGGCTGAATGAATGGGCATGGCAGCTTCGGCTGTATGTCCTTCCAACAGACTATTGGCTGACTATTTCCCAGCAATCTCTTGCCTAGTCTGCCCTCAACCACTCCGGTTACTACGCTGTGATGTAGCAAAACCTTCATGTGCCGTATCAGAGTTTTCAATCATTACTTCAAAGCATTGTTATTTTTTTAATAAAAATCGCTTGTACTCTGACAGAGTCAATCCCACGAATTTTTCCAGGTGTATCTACTGCTACGTACTTACCCTTCGCTAAACCGGGTTGTACACAATAAGTCGTACCATGTAATGTTGATTACTACACACTAGTCAATCTGACGCTCATTACGAACGTCAACACATTTCCATCAGTTCAAGTAATTTATTAAAAGGAGAGACTTATCTAAAATGTCTTCCGTGTAACTAAGTCGCCAATCACGTAACAAGCCCTATATGCAAGAATTGAGGAGCTTGGTAGAGTGCAGATTCAGCCGTTAGTTTGTAAAAGCCTCAAATTTGGCGGTGAACCGAATATCACAGATAATAGATATGGTACTATCCCAGTCACATTCAGTTCATAAACACAGACCTGTAAACAGTCAATCTTGATTGATCACTCGAAACTGGAAATAGCAACATCTTCAAAACAACAGCAATCGGTAATGCTACTTGATCATCTTCAACTACCTTTTCAACTCCTACATACAATGACAGCAACCCAAGCTTCAAGTTCCAAGGCTAAAAGGAAAAACCATTAAACCCTAGAAGAACCACGAATGAACGAATCCATGGAGACTATCGACAGAGCAAACCTAACTTGGTCTCAATGCTGGTTCCACTATAGGACGCTTGTTCCAGTGGCAGAGAGAGAGCGCGAACTGGAGGCTACGTGGAAACACCCAGAAAGGCAAATGTAAAACTTGGTCTCAGGAAGAGCAGAAAATTGCACAGCGACGGAGACAAAAATGATGTCCAATGGCAATTGAGTCGAAGACGACGAGGCCAGAGTGGCCCCACGTTTGCAGTCTCACGTGGCTAGTCGGGGAAGCTCTCGCTTCCTCTTAGTTTGTGGCCGAGTTCTCGTTTACGTAACCACGCGTGGAACCGCGTTCAGAAACGTTGTGGTTGCTTAAGCTCTTTGAAGTAGAGTGAATGAATTGCGCGGGGAACCACGCTGCGAGGCTCCTCTCGAACATCGAGATTGCGACCAGATAAGCTTCCATAGTTGCGGTAATCCATCTGACAAGCGAACAGACAACTATCTCCAAAACATCTTGGAATCGACTACCTTATCGGATTTTGCTTCCATCCGAGTGCCGATTGGCGGGAGGATGATTTGTAGTTATTTCTTGTTGAGGGAGCACAGAAATTGAATTTTTTTGGGCAATGGCGTGGGTGTTGGCTGCTGCGCGGGTGGAGTAGTCGCGTGCATGGGGGCAGCCGAGTTGGGAATCGGTTCGCATAGTAGCTGACGCCGAAGTTTGATTGACGGCGTGGTGTACAGCGTGTGCAGTGTTCATTTTCCACAATTTGTCGAGTTTTCTGGAGGTCAGGCCGCTGTGCAATTTCTTTTGTCGACGCTTGAAGTTTTGGTTGTAGTCTGCGAAAGATCAGGGTGTGCTGATTGAGCAGGGTTGCAAGGAGTGGGTTGCAAGGAGCGCGGAGAATGGCAGTATGTGCATGCAGTACGGGATTGTTGCAGCTTCTTCCGAAAGCCCCTGCAGTCACCTGCTCATTGTCCTCTCAGGTATGGCAATTTCCGCCTAGGTTATGATGTCTGTACCTTAGGTTGATGCTCCTAGACCATGACGAAATTTGAAGTAGGATTGAGTTCAATCTCCATGTCTCGTATGATGTTCATGCAATTATGTAGTACCTCACAGTCAAATACAGAGTCCAACGAAGGCGGGGAGTCTTGATCCCGAAGCAATCAAATTTTGCACTTTTTTGAAGATAATTTGTCTGAATGCTGTGATATTGTGTTGTGATGTGACAGTTGCGGACTGAGAAAAGTGCACAGTTTTCGTGCGTTGTGTCTTCGTCGTCTGATTGTGTATGTAACTTGGGGTACGTCAGCAACAAGGGCACTTTGGTTCACTCCTCGTCTTTAGAGAGGTCTCAAAATAGGAGTAGCGGCTTTAGACATGGCAGGAGTAGCAGGAGCAGAGGCGAGCCGCGGAAAGGGTACAGAGGATGCGGCAGGTTGGACCCGAAGCAGACAGTAATACATGTGCAAGCGCGGGTACAAGACACTGTAGAGCATGAAACGTATGATAGTGGTAATGAGCTAGATCGAAATTTTCGAAGTAAAACCCGAAGTCGAGGAGAAAAGAAGGGGAAAGAGAGGAGAAGGGTGCAGGTGATCACCAATAATGGCTTTGTGGACCTGGAAGAGCAGTTGGGTATCTCCAAGGGGCGAAAGGGAGAAGGGAGGCTTAGGTTGCGACTCAGCAGCCAACAGAATCGGAATAGAGTGCAGAGAGATGAGGAAGGAAGGTTGTGTTTTGAGTATGAATTTAACGCAACAGACGGTGAGGAAGTACCTGAACTTGACAATAACTCCTTCTACTCTGCTGAAGAATTGCAGACTCGGCAAGAGGGCGATGCACCCAGCCTTGCTCAAGCTGCGACGCCCTTGGAAATTGGGACATTTTTAGCCTCCGAGCGAGGTAAATATTTTTGAACATTTTTTTTTGATTTGAATGATTATCTACACATTGAAGATCATTGTTACCATCTGAAAACATGCGTATTGGCATGGTGTGCAGGAGCTGGCCGGAGTGCTGGCGGTGGTCTCTCTGCTGGTCCTGTGGAGTTTGACGCAGAGGAGCAATGGTCTGGTGATGAGCAAGAAGGTGATGCATACGTTGAAGCAGAATCGCATTCTACTAAGTTTCTCCTGGATACTCCTGGTGGCCAGCAAGTGGCCGAGCTCGTGGGCGCGTGGGACGGCTTAGCAGGGAGACTTCCTCCTGATTTTGCTTCCAGTGCCGGATCCACGCTTCTATTAGCTGCTCTGAGACTGACTGTCAGCACTCTTCGCCATACATCACCTACTGAAGACGGGCGCAAGCCCCTTTCTCGTGCATTGTCTGTGGCATTTATCCTTGCTGACCTTCGGGTGAGCTACCCTTCGTAAACCAGAACTTTTGTTTCCACCAAAGCATGATTAGAAGAAAGTTCTGTTAGTTAGAGAAGCCATGAGTTTTTTTTTTTTTTTTTTTTTTTTTGAATTAAAGTGAAAACGCCTACATTGACATGCAATTCTGCTTCGTGTGACACCCTAGATGGACGCAGAGGTGATTGCAGCCGGTCTTCTTCGGGAGGTTGTCGAAGCAGGGTACCTTAACATTGCAGGAGTGGAGAGGGTTCTAGGCAAGGAAGTGGCCATTCTTCTCGAAGATTGTGCTCGTGTTAAGTATATGCCTTCTCTCTTAGACACATTAGACGATGCCTCCGTCAAAGCTATTCGCCAGTATTGTCTTGCGTTCCACGATGTCCGTGCTATCGTAGTAGAAGTCGCAGCCCGCTTGGATACTTTGCGGCACATTCAAGTGCTTCCACGGTACAGACAACAGATGCTTTCGCTGGAGACTATGCAAATCTATGCGCCTCTTGCGCATGCTATGGGTACCGGCAAGGTCAGCCACGAACTTGAAGACCTTGGTTTCAGGGTACTCTTTCCAGACTCTTACACATACATCGGAAGCTGGCTCAAGTTACACTTCGCTGATGGTCAAAAGGTCGTCCAACAGTGTCAAAATGATTTGCAGAAGGCCTTGGAAGAGGACCCAGAGATGCAATCCCTGATAGAATCAGTCAAAATTTCAGGCAGATGTAAGAGCAAATACAGCACTATGAAGAAGCTTCTTAGAGATGGTAGACCACCCGAGGAGGTTTTTGACGTGTTGGGCCTGAGGGTGGTGCTGACCCCTAGAAAAGAGGGCACTAGCTCTGTGAAGAAGCGTGGTGCAAGAGCTTGCTACAAAGCATTGGAAATTGCGACGACTTTGTGGGAGGAAGTTCCTGGAAGATTGAAAGATTACATTGCGAAGCCGAAGAAGAATGGTTACGAGAGTCTGCATTTAGCTGTAACTTTGAGCAACCGCGGGAATTGGTCAACTCTTATGGAGGTACAGATACGCACGGAAGAAATGAATGAAATGGCGGAGGGTGGACTTGCTTCACATTCGCTTTACAAAGGCGGGCTCACTGATCCCGAACAGGTGAATAACTTTTTACATGGCTCTAGTTTCTGTTTATTATCTGCAATTAGTAGACTAGGGTGACGCTTGTAATATGTTCAATTCTTTAACGAAGGTCCATGCATATTTATCCGTGGTCTTGTCGCTGAGTTGTTTCAATGCAGGCAGGTTATCTTAAGGCTATTATGCAAGCGGCAGCTGATGTAGCATCAACCCGATTTTCAGACTTGACAAACGAGTCGGTTGAAGTTATTGGGGAGGGGTTTGCACAGAGCAAATTTGACGACCAAATGTTTACCTTTTTTGATAAGAACAATGATGGGGTGATCAGTATGGACGAGTTGAAGGATGTTATTGGCGAGCTAGGAGGGGATGAGGAGGATGCGAACGAGCTAATGAAACTTGTAGACTCCAACTTCGATGGGTCAGTCAGTCAAGAGGAATTTAAGGACTTTCGTCGACAGGTAATCATTCGTTTTTCTTCGATGCCGTACCAGTAGTTTTTCTCTTGGTAAGACACTGGTAGTCATTCCAGTATGATCTTTTTTAATTCGATCTCTCCTGTATATACCAAAATTTCTAAAGTGACCAACCAAATCTGCTTGTAGGTTAAATTGTTTGAGAATCTCGCTGGAGTGGATAGGCAATTTACGACACAGCTTGATCAGAAGCTTTTGACTGCTTCAAAAAATTCAAATGGGATTGATACTGTCGATCAAGACGAGCAAACGATGTTACCTATAGCTAATGATTTAGAAAGGAAGGCGAATACCAATGGATCTGCCAGCCCCTCAAATGTGCAGGAGGTTGACTATCCTTCCAAAGATTTAGAGCGGCAGATGTGGATGGACAGGATTAATGACTCAGCGAAGGGTTCAACAAGTAGCAGCAGTGGCAATGCTACCAATGATGGAATTATCATCCAAAGTCCAGCTAAGTTAGCAAAACCTTCGAAGCCTGCATCAACATTAGTAGACAAGAGGTCTAGTTCTGTTGTTGGCAATGTCTCTGTTGCAGATGTAGTTGGTTCCCCAAGGTATTCGTGGCAATCGTCAACTAGTGGCGAGTTTGAGAAAGAGGACACGATGCAGTTGCATTCCCAAGTGACGGATGTTGAGTCGGACATTGATAGGACGCTAGCTAATGCAAGGAAGCAACTTGCAGCAGGTGATTTTAAAGATGCACAGCGTACCTTACAGAAGGTAATTAGTTCTCATGAGCCTTTTTCAGTCTAGAAATCACGAACTAAGCTAATCCTGAGGCATAAATTTCCCCATGTATGTCGTGATTGACTTGACTGTGTTTGTTCTGACAGCTGGCAAAGAAGCATCCTAACAATGCAGATGTTATGGTGCATTTGGCTCAACTAGAACGAGAAAGAGGTACGTTTTTATTCCTTGACCCATTCAAAATCAATGGTCGTATTCTTCGTCAAGACTCTCATGTTATGGAGGTTCTGTATCCAAATGCTGAGATGTAAATTATGGTGAATGGCAGGGGATATGGTTGCAGCAGGAGCATATTACGAGAGAGCAGTTGGAGCGCTTAAGAAACAAGGAGATTACGGTCTTATTTATGTTAAAACACTGCAAAGATGGGGGTCTTTAGAAGCACAGGCTCGAAATGCCAGTAGAGCCAGATATCTATATCTGGAATCCGTCCGAATAGCTCATAATGGAGAGAAGAAGGGAGTTCAGGAACTACTAGGAGCAAGTGTTTATGGATTGCATGGGTGGGCTATGCTAGAACAAAAGGTAGGAAATTGGAGCAAAGCGAGGGAATTGCTAGAAAGAGCTGCAAAGATGCAACCCGGAAATGCTGTAGTTCACCAGAGCCGAGCTCTTCTAGAAGCACTAGCCCACAATTACGCTGCTGCTCGTTACCATTTTAGACTTGCTGTGGAGGCAGCTCCAGAAGATGTGAAGTGCTGGCAGGTGAGCACGAAAATTCAGTTTATTGTGCTTGAATGTATTTAATAACGGTCAAGGTGTACTTTTGTAATGTAGACATTTCAGTAATGATGAGTCATGCAGTTCTCCATCAAGCTGTGATCCGACGCATTTTTGCATTTCACCTCCCTTTTAGGCGCTTATTTGTTTATTGTGGTGCGAAAGGATATCATTAACTTGTGAAATTATTAATCATATTCGGATTTATACGTCTGAATGATTTGTCTTGATTGTATGAGAAGTATCTGTAACGGTTAGTACTTCGGTTCTTGAATGACAGGCATGGGCGTTGTTTGAAGCAAATCAAGGCAAGCGAGGAAAAATGAGGCAGCTTTTTCAGAAGGCACTAGAAGTAGAGCCAGAAAATCTCCACGCACTTCAGGTTTCTTCTTTTATGTTTTCAGATGTTTTGAGCATGTGGCTAAGCATCAAATAAATGCAGTTGTGTGTGAAAAGCATGTATTCATAGCAGACATACATTCTACCATATAACTGTCATGCACTCATGTGACTAATCGTTCAGGCTTGGGCGCATCAAGAGTCATTGCTAGACTCAGACTCAGCACGGGAACGTGCTCGTAAATTGTATCAACGATGTGTGGAAATGAACCCCAATAGTGTTCACTCTTGGCAGGTACTCAATTCAATTTTCTGCTGCGTACTGGTTGGTGTCAGTGGATACGAGGAGTGACCAATTTAATCGTTGCTTTCGGCTTGGAGGCTTACTGAATCTCCATCACTAGATGACAATCAATAATTACATATTATTCTGACATGTAAGTTCGAATGCAGGCATGGGCTTTATTGGAACAAAACGCTGGAAATGTAACAGGTGCTAGGATCCTTTTCGAAAGGGGTCTTGGAGCCAATCCTCGAAGCGTTCCATGTCTTCAGGTAGCTGTGTCTAAATCCAAGCCTGTGGCTAATATGATCTGCTGTGATGTGACTTAATCAGGTTTTAGCTCTTGGAATTTCTTTTGTTTCTGATGAATCACTTTTTTCTTTTCATGTACAGGCCTACGCGTACATGGAACGTGTCAATGGAAACCTGAAGACTGCCCAGAAACTGCTAGTGGCAGCATTGCAGTTGGAGCACGAGAATCCGGCTGTTTTGATGGTGAGAAGCTCTCTCATGCAAGAACTCAGCATTGAAGCAGCTTTGCATTGTTTTAAAAATGCCAACTTCTGTGAATAGTGTTACTATTTGGTATTTCGGGTTGAACTTCTGAACATGTGCGCGATGTTCTATGTAATCTCACGGTGCGCTGATGGTTTTCTGTGTAGGAAATTGCTCTCACAGAAGAAGCCATGGGTAACAAGGAAGTGGCAGCAGAGTATTTTCGAAAAGCTGGCATCGTAGATAAGCGAAAAAGCCGTTTGAAGCGCCGTATGTTTGAGTCACGAAAAGCAGCACCCAAGTTAAAGGTACCAAAGCCCCAGGATGCAAAGCAGAATACAGAGGTTGTGTAATCTTTTGATGAAAGCGCTATCAGAAGTTACCACTCGCCAGGTCATAGAAGTGAATGCTCTTGCAGCGTGGAGAATCACTTGCTTCGAAGTATGAAATCTGTCTACTAGTTACGTTCTTCAGCTTGTATATTTGTGAACCGATATGTGCTTCATTCTATTGAGGGTTCCCCAGGGGATCAGGGGATCAGCCTTCTGGTGGAATCACATTGTTTCGTACCAAATTTATTTTTTCGGATAAATGACAGCTACTGCTGTTAACCTTGTGAGTCAATGAGTCAATGGGCATCTGTCGACAAGATGCAAGGAGGGGGGGGGGGGGGGAAGAGAAAGAGGCTTCAAAGTTATTATTAGCAAGGGCGTGCATGAAAGGAGTTGTGAAACTGTTTGATCATACTATTGGTGTGCATGCACTAACTTAGCAATTGAGAGTAAAATCTACTCAATTATTTTTTGGTAGATGCAAAAAAATTATTACTGTTATTATTATTTAAAAATTTAAATGGTTTTGAAAGAACTTGAAGGATACAAAATTATGAGTGTATCATAATAAAAATAAGATTATGAAATATGATAAATCCTAATTCTTTTGAGGTAAGCAAGGATTAAAATATGGCATATATTGAACAATTGTGACAAACGGAAAGAAAATTTTACAATGTAAAACCAAAATGACTAAGTACCATGTAAAACCAGAAAGGACAAATTCATTATGTAAATTAATGACTAAGTACTTAGTCATTATATATGTTTATATAGTGACTATATGTGTATATATATGTATATAAATATGTATGTTTGAAGAATAAGAATTAAGATATAATCTACAATGGAAAATTATAAGAACAAAATCTATAATGCTGTACTTCCTGTTATGAAAAGATTATATTAAGTATATATAATTTATAATATCTCTATCTAGTATATATATTTATGTGTATACATACATGCATGCACATAAATTTATCTGCAATATTTTAAGAATACATCTATACATATTATCAAATACTGAATATAACATTCTGAATTTTAATGGTTGATTTTTATTTCATTCAAAGTTTTATTATATGAGCCCAAAATAGGTATATTGTGTGTGTTATAAATATTAGTGTTTTTTAAAACATATGTATATTAGCTAGTATTGCATGTTGTAGCTTGTAGAATATTCAGTTATCTCTTCTTTTATAAAAAGCATGTATAGTTTTCTTAAGTACATATTTCAATTTGAAGATGTTCTATATATATATATATATATATACACACACATAGTGATGTCTAGTTAAAAGAAAAATGCTCAGGAGATAAAAATGGATCCATTTTCTTTTGTGCTTGCCTATGTTTTTTATGAACTAGTGAGAGAAAAGTCTAGAGAGGAACAATGCTCTGTTATGAGCAAGTACCACCTCAGCCAACAAAATGCATAACGTGTCTCATTAACGACAACTTTTTGCTCCTCCGTGCAAATGCCACTGTCCCTATTTTTAGCCCCCACAGTGCAACTATAGACACCGACACCATCAGTTGGATCTGCAATGTTCCTAGCTGCAAGCGTGCATTGTTCCAAAGGCATGGAGAGTGATGCGGAGTTTGGTTATGAAAAATGTTAGGTTATGAGAAAAGCTTTTCCCTATCCCAAGGGATTTCTCTTAACCAGACACCACTGTACATATACAAGAAAAGAATTTGGTTTTTTGCATAATACATAGTGAATTAATTTAACATGAATAAATTTATATATTTTGCAAAACATTAAATTAATAGTTTTAATTATATATTTCTTAACATAATTTAAATTATGCATTTTAATTTTATTACAAGCATTTTTAGAATTATGCAAAATGATAAACCTACAATATTTAAGCATTATAGTTTTATCACTATAATTGAATCTCTTAAAAAAATGTTCAAGAGAGAATTTTGATAAAGTATATAATTGATCTATATATATATCTATATCCATATATATAAACATTATTGATTAAAGATCAATTGTACTATATTATTAACATAAATGCACATTTCAGTTATTAGTAGAAAAAAGTTAAAAAGTAGTTTTAGGTCAACGTACATATTGGTAATATATATATATATATATATATATATATATTTATTCATTTAATTTTCTTATTTTATTCAAATGTATATAGAATCAAAATGTAGTGAGATAGCTAACTAAGTCGATGAAAGAAGTTGATTTGTTGAAATTTTGGGTATTCCAAATAATGTCACAATTGCAGGGTAATACTAGGAAGCTAACGATACGAATCATCAAATCGGAACCTAACTGAAACCAGATTGATTCATTTGTTGCAAAGGAAGTTTGCTGCAATGCACTCCATGTCGACCCATATTTCGTGTCTTACTGCGCCATGAGATTCATTTCAAACACTGCACATGCCAGATGATAAAGTATCAGATTAATGCAAAAAGGATCACACTATCAGATGTCTCAAAGAACACTCTATCCTTTTCTTGAATGAGTAGTAAATCCCTCCCACATTGCTTACCAGAGTGCCAAGACGCCATGAATGCTTGTTTTCTGTTTTTGTTTTCTTTTTTCTGAAGAAGAAGAAGAAGAAGATGGCTTCAAAGATTATGCTTGGCCTTAAGTAAGGGTAACCACCGACTGTCTACTGGTCTCCCTTGTGACCCGCCGACTGAGAGCCCAACAGACAACAACATAAGTAAAATCATTCATGAAGAAGAAGAAGCCGCAAAGACATGAAAAAGAAGAACCGTAAGTGACCTTACCCTCCCATGTCCTGGGTCCGAGCTTATCGCACTCTTCCGAACAAATTGCCTGTAAGCAGTTGAATGAATCATTTTGTCAGCAAACCACTAGTGCCTGACCATTTCGCGGACTCTAGTGAGTTTCTAAACCAGCTACTAGCTCAATTTTTTAATCCGCAAATGTTGTGTTAATACTGAATGAAGAGGTTGAGTTGTCACCTTGGCGGAATAGTTAAGCTTGATAGTGTCCCGCACCATTCTAGTGAGGTCAGCTTCTTCCTCCCCAAGTGGAAAATAAACAACCTGGGTAGTGAGAACCTTCAACCATCAACTTTCCTGCTTAAAACAACCATCTTAAGACATTGTATTATGTACATTGACGAATCCCATGAACTTCAAACGATCCATTACTTACGGTTGGATCACCATTTTCTTCACTTTTTCCATTTGGATGGACAAACATGTCTTGTGTCGGCGTCAACCACGCTTGAAATGATCCATTAATCTGCAAAAGAGTAGAGCCACCCCATCCAACGGGGAATAAATCATGTGAAAAGTTCCCCTAGCTTATGTTACGGAAGTTCTTAAGACTTCAACATCCGACCCAAGAACACCAAGCTCTTGGACTTGTAGCATTGTATCACAGAACAAGACTATAGATTGAAATCTTTTCAATTCGTCAATCGCCACAGTTCTCTTTCTATATATATATATATATAGACACATTGTGCGAAATATTCCAAGTAACGACACGAAAGATTGAGAGTTCACTTACTGGAGAGAAGTAGGTTTTAAAGCAGCGGCTGCATTGTTGCCGCACCGTCGAACGTACTTGAGCTTGAACGAAAAACCCCCACCCACTCTGCCCTCCCCCCATCACATGAAAAACTGCGATGACAATTCGGACACTTCTCCACCTGGCTACTGACATCCAAATTGACAGGATCGCTCACCATCAACTCGAAAATTCAGTTTAATTTGCTCAGAACATTCACGTGCTTGAATTGGGATTTCAAGAGACGTATAGAAACTTACCTTTTGCACAGCCAACTCGACGTGCACGAGGTCCTTCGGAACTTTTCCAGGTCCCTGGAAACTAGAATCTGTGGATATGTCTTCAAGGTTGAGGTCCTTCAATGTAGTGACTTGCTCTGTGTTCCATGAGTCGGCCCACTTGCCATCACTTCTGTTAACCGTAATTAGAACCGGCAAAACTCTTTCCCTACCTTCTTTTTTCTTATTCGTTTTCGGCAATTTCTTCGACACAGGCTTACTCTCAACATGTGAAAATTCCTTGCGGGGCTGCGAGACAGAATTGTATAACAAGGAGAGACAGCTCTCAGAGAATGAAGTTGAGAAACATTCTCTGATTCAACTATCAAAGAAAACTTCCCATAAAGGCAATACAAATAATCGAAGGATTTCAACCTCAGGAGGGTGCTGCCCAGTTGTGCACACTACTACGCGGCCACTCCTACAACACCAACCCATGACACGCCCGGCACCACACCGAGACTCAAATCCAAGGCACCACCGGCTGTCAGACACTCCCCCTGAACAAATCCCTCATGAGTACAACTCAACCAACATCGAATTCCCCAAAACCGGGACAAAACCCAGCTGGGTGCACCCCAAAAACCCGAAAAACGAAGCTTCATACACAACAAATGATTGTGGATGCGGAAACCCAGATTCCAATGGGTTCGTAATTCAATCGGAGGCAAAACTCCCAGCTCCATCCAAGTCATGAGCTTTGCTTCCAGAGAACTACTCCAGCTTAGCCGAACCAGAATTTGCAAAAGTTACATTAACCAATGCAGCTCAAAATGGATTAGGAGCAGAAAGATTGAAGAGAAAAGAAGAGAAGGAAGGAATACATGGAGTGGAGAAGGAAGGCCGAGGTGTGTGCAACAAGACGTTGGCCATATCCACTGCTTGGGAATATTGCAAAACACGCAGTTTCACAACACCTGCTCCAGCATTATCCACGCTCACAAAGTGAGTAGAGTAGAGTGAGTGAGTCCATCGCTGCCCCTGGCTGCTTGGGAACATGCTTTGGGAACCAAGGGTACGAATCCACCTCGACGTTCCCCTGCCATTTTAAGTTTAAGATAATTGCTTGTATTGTTTGCTTTCCAATTGCTTATATTTTTTACATATGGCATTTCTGAAGATAAAGCCTTAGTGAGGGTAGATTTATATAATGTAATGGTTTTATTCTTTCTTCAGTTTTATGATTTTTGAAACCATTCATTTACAATAGCTGATTTCATATTGGGTAGTATTCATGATTTCTGGATAAATCAGGCTAGTTCTAAAATGGTATTTATTTTTTATATTATTTATTTTTATATATTCTAATTGAAAAATAGATTTACATACGTATAATATGTCATCTTTTCAATAAATAATATTTATGATTTTTCTACATCAAATGATTATGCCAATTATTTTATTTTTTAAACCTGTGTATTAGTAATTTTTTTGATAATATATATAATAACCAAGAAAATAATTTTCAATTATTAAAAATATAAGAATGTGACTATTGGTATCATTCTAATAGAAAAATATAAAAAAAATTATTAGACGGATGTGAATACTAAATTTGAATTTTAAACAAAAGCTATCCTAATTTAGTTTATGCATTATTTTAAGTAAATTTAATTTTGGATATTCTGATCTTTTTTAATTGTCATTTTTTTTTTGTTGCATTCAAAAAGTTTTATCTAATTCTTGTATTGAACTTTGTTGAGATTTCTCATGATAATTTGTAAGATTTTGCAAATTTCAGATCAAGAAAATTAATTAGTTTTTTTTAATAATTATATAATAATAATAATAATCTAGGATTTTTTAAATAATTATTAATAGAAAAATTAATAAACCTTCTCTAAAATTTTGATACAAATTTTGAATTTCAGATTTGACATAATATGTTTTGAAAATTAACAATTTTGGTACATTTTGTGGCTAAATTTTTTTGCCTTATTAGCACCATTACTGATCTTTTGTAACACATAGAATAAATTAATTTAGTGAGATAGTTTACAATCACCAAAATTACCAAAATTGAGTTATTATTATTGGAATATAAAATATTTATGATAAAATATTTTATGAATAATATCTATGCCTTTTTAAGAATAAGATATAGTTCAATATTCTTTCAAAAATTGATGTCTTGGAAACTTAGCTTTTGCATTTGTATTATAAGATTATTAAATTTTTTTTTACAAAGTTTGATATTTGTAATAATTAATAGTTTGAAGATACTAATTGAATATATTGAAAAGAGTAAAATATTCTAAACTTAGAAATATGATAAATTTTTATAATAAAAAAGATAAAAATATAATATTAATATGAGTAAACTTACAAGTAAAGACTTTGAGCAGAATTTAAAATTTGTCATTCATTATCAATAAATTTTTATCTTCTAAATTTATTTCCTATTTTTATTTTTTCTTCTATTTTAGTCAAAATAAGATTACATTATTTATAAATATATATATCCAGATTTATTTATAACTTTATAGAAGTAATTTTATAGAATAATGTTTTTTTTTAATAGCAATTTAATCATTTAAAATTTTAGATTTGAAAACTTAATCTTGTTCTATATACACTTTTATCAAAGTATTGATACATAGAAAGAAAAATTGATAGTAAAAAAAATATAGTAGAAACAAGACACAATATTAATATCTAAACAAATAAAAATAAATCTTAAAATAAAGAAGTATTTTAATTGCTCCAAAATTTGTATTAGAAAAATTAAAGTGTTACTTGTCTTATCTTTTGTTAATACAATAACATTTGGTTCTTAAAAAAACTTATACAAAATTTTCTAAAAACTAGAAAGTATCCTTGAAGTTTAAAGAACTTCTATAAAAACTTATAGACTAATATATAAGATTAATTTATTCTAAAAAAATATTTTCGAAGATTCTACATAATTTTATAGACTATTAGATTATTTATTAAGAGCAATAGGAATATATTAAATATATTAAAAGGTTTAAACGTCTTAATTATAGTATGTTCTCATACTTATAATTTATTAGTTTAGAAGGATCTATCTCTTCCATGAAAAACATGTGTAGAACTTTTTTACCAATGTGAAGAGATTATATCTTCATTAGATTTATTGAAGATACCAAAATCTTCTTTCTTAGCTATCTTTGCTCAACTTATTCATTGGCATCCATCAAATGAGGATATTATCCTTGTAGAGTTCTTTATAGACATTTATATAAGTTTGGTAGCAATAGTAAAGATTGGACTTATTGTTTGATAGTATATTCACGTAGATACTAGAACTGCACCTAATCAAGCAGTCGAATATCAACTCCAAAGATTATTAGTTATGTATCCTAAACAAGTACAACTTCTTACCATTCTTAGTTATTTTAGTCAAGTCTCTTATAATATCACTTTTATTAGAACTGAGGATTAGAAGAAATCAGGCAACATAGATTTATTGATTTCTAGATGCCTTGTCAAGGTCATTCACATATTGGAGGAGGTCAAGGGTTAGATGATCTTTGATCCAATTTATTTACAAATTTAAAATGATTCAGACAGTAGTGGTTTACACATCAAACCACACTACCTAGATATATTTTTAAAAATATATGACCATTGAGTGATATTTGAATACAGGTATTGAATTCTTATCAATATATTAACCAATTCCTTGCTCTTCCAATCTATGTAGATGTAGCAACTTTGGGCTTCTATGCCCATCAACCTTGTCTGATTTGGATCAACTTAGCATTATTTCATGTGCTTATAATGACACTTTTTAGAAGCAAACAACATCTTGAAGGCCATGTTGAGGATATCTTTGATGATAATTGAATTTTTTTGGTTGTCACTAAAGCTGATGAACCTCATCTTGATCTGGGTAATAAGATGGAAGCACTTTATGGCACATTTCTTACATTTATAACATTTCCAACATCATTTGAATTTTGAGCATATGGACTTGATATGATTTGGAATGTCAATTCATAAACCTATGGAGAATCTAATGCCAATGAAAGGAAGCATACTATGGACTTTTTAACTAGCACCATAGCTTCTTGTAATCTTGTTGAAGGACAATGTTGTTTTTTCCTAGGCCAAGCTGTGGACTTCAATACTTTAATATAGATTTTTGGCATATGCCTTATTATGAATAATAATAAGGCATCCTATAAACTTTATAGATGCTACTTTTACTTTACATGTATTTATAGGAAGCTTCCTATAAGCTTTATAGATGCTGCTTTGGCTTTACATGTATTTATACTTGATTGATAGGTTAGAAACTTGGTCAATAAATTAACCACGTGTCACATATGTTGGTAGCTTACAAAACAAGCTAACTATGTGGCATCCACATAAAAAACTTGCCTTGCAAGTTAAGATACGTATTGTGCATAGTCAACACGTTTTTGGAGGTCCTATGGAACGTCGCCACATAGCTCCTAGGTAGATAGTATTTATAGAGGCAAGAGTAAAGTCTTCTTCACTCTTGTCAACTCCTTTCTTGCTTCTAGTCTAGTTTCAAGGGTGTCTAGTTTTCTTGTCTTTTGGCAAAAGCCATTGCAGTTTCTTTTTTAATATACATATTTGGTTATTTCTATTTTGTCATCTTTTTTTGAGAAAAGTCTCACTTGTTTATTTTTTTTTATCAAGTTCTTATTTTTGACACATTGACAAGAGTGCACTTATAATATGAGAGCTTTGTCTAATCTTAATTAAGAATGGATTATCTCTTTCTTGTGATAAGACATAAACATATTAGAAGTTACGGATTACCTTCTTCTAAATTGATACTGTTCTTAGTATTTTCAAGTCATCAAGTTATCTCTTCTATTTTTCTTGAGCGATATTAGACATCTTCTCTTTTCTAAGTATTATTATAGTAGAATTTGTTGAAATGAAGAGTGCAATGGCACAAATGCAAGAGCAATTGAAGGAATTAATGCTTGCAATGCATCAACTCAATTTACCACCACAAGGAGCAACAAGATTTACAAGAAGTGAAGATATAGAAATGATTGGAGCTGCTTCAACATCTGCTTCAAATCATGTCTCTTCTCTTATCGTGGAACACCCTTTTAGTATTAAAGAACTGAGAATTACCCTACTCAAGAAGTTTCATGGCACCAGATCAAAGTTTAGAGGTTTTATCAATCAAGTACAACTTGTGATTGAACTTCAACTCCAAAGCTATTCAACTCAAAGATTGCAAGTTAGATTCATTGATACACTTATTTCATGTTCAACATTATCATGGTTTTCATCTTTTCTTGAATAATGAGATACAATATTGGATAATTTGGAGGCTTTTTTGGTAGCGTTTTGATCCATGTACGGAGAATATGATGCAATTCATGTTGCAATCAACAAGATCTATATTTTGTGATAAGGCAATTGATCAATAACGTTGTATGCTTCACAATTTTCACAACTTATAACTCATATCAAGTGGCATGATGCTACACTTGTTAGCCAATTTCTCTACAGATTATAATATGAGGTAAAAAAATCAATGCTCAACTTACCTGATCTTCAAACATTGAGTCAAGCAATTGAATTTGTTGTGAAGTATGACAATCATCTTTTTGAATTTCAATCTGAGAACCATACAAGTGGACCTCAACGTTATTATAATTCAATAGTAATACCAACATCTCTTCAACACATACATTTGGAAGTAGAGGATATGCAAATTGATGTGGTACGTTTCAAATCTCTTAGTGAGTAAGAAAAGAATCATCATCGTTAGGAAGGATTGTGCTTATATTGTGGAGAACCTAAGCACACTGTCCAATATTACCCAAAGAAGTGACGCAACCATAAAATGAGGAGTACAGCTATCAAAGAAGATAGTATGTAAAAAAATAAATTTGTCCAGCTACAATAGGGACCGTGTGGCTGGAAACTTGTACAACACCTAGTGAAGGTCCTATTTTCTCCTCAGAATCCTCTCCTTATTTTATGATAAATGTTATTTTAGGACCTAAACATCACAAAGCCTCTACCTTGTTAGATTCAGG